GGGGGGGGGGGGGGGGGGGGGTGGTGGTGGTAGGAGCATTTTTGGGGACCTCCAGTTTCAACAAAAATAACTGTGGACAGGAACCCTCCTTCTCATAAGAGAATCAGAATCACATAGGTCTTTATTGGCCAAGTGTAGAGCTAGGCATCATTCAAAATTTTTCAATACCGCTTCCTGAACATTACTTTTTTTCAATTTCAATGTGTTTTTAAATCAGTTTCGACGACAACAAGAATACATTAAACATTTCAGCACTGATCTATTAATTGAACACGTTGTTTTAAATTATTGGTTGGTTACTGGGGGGATTGATCGCATTCATAACGGGATGCAGCCTTGTATTTATATTTCACCAGAGCTCTCATGTTTCATCAAAATTGTGGAGTGAGATTACATCTGTTAGGGGCGCAGTGTGTCTCGCGGTCAGTGCATGACACTTTACAGCCCTGCTCACCGCACTCATTGGTTCCTGCTCACCGCACCCATTGGTTCCATTGGTTCCTGCTCACCGCACTCATTGGTTCCTGCTCACCGCACTCATTGGTTCCTGCTCACCGCACTCATTGGTTCCTGCTCACCGCACTCATTGGTTCCTGCTCACTGCACTCATTGGTTCCTGCTCACCACACTCATTGGTTCCTGCTCTGCCACTTACACCTTGTTCTGCACTCCGTATGTGCGTGCATCCCTGTAATAACGTGCTTGCAGTGGGATCACATGCAACAAATTCTGTTTTCTGATTGCCTGGTAGGTGGCCATTAAGTCGGGACAGCTGTGAGCTAAACGGAAAACTCCACTCCGTATATCTGCGCCTCACCCATTAATTCTGTATGACAGGACACCTTGCTGGGCATTATGTCTTACTCTGGTGAGCGTGTGAACCAGTTGAAATGCGTGTGTGTCACGATCAGTGCGTGAGACTTGAGAGCCCTGATTTTACTTATGACCGGTGACGTGTTTATAATTCATAAATAAATCCGGCCAGCAGATCAATCTTTCATTTTCCACAGAATAAAAAGCAATGCTACGTTACCCCCGCTGATAAGCACCCCCACGTTTCACCGCCGGCCCTTGCTGGAGATGCAGGCAAAAGCCATTCAGTCTTATAGAGATACAAAAATAATTCCATCTACTGTCTTTTTTTCCTGCACCTCTGGGTAACTTGCATGTTATCGGTGGTGCTTGTGGTCGAGCAATCATCAAGTTTATCACTGTAAGCCCCTCGTCAGTAGTACCTCTGAGGAACTGAATCGGACCAAGTTCTGATGGTCTCGCTCACACACGCATGCATACACACACACCCCGATTCTCGCTCTCTCTGGGTGTTTCATGTGATATATGACGATGTGGTCCGTCACTATATGGGGGGGGGGGCATATTTGCAAGACATATTTTACACTACGCAACAAATAAAAGCAACACACACACTCAAACCTGTTGACAACTTTGTCTCCTCCAGCCTATATTTAGGTGATCAGTGGTCATTGTCAACACACCACAGCACACAGTGCACAACAACGAAATGTGTCCTCTGCATTTAACCTATATGTGACTTTCGTGATATAGCAGGGGGCAGCTAATTCAGCGCCCGGGGAGCAGTGCTTGGGGGCGGTACCTTGCTCAGGGTGCCTCAGTGGTGCCTTGCTGGTCGGGGATTCGAACCTGCAATCTTTCAGTTACAAGTGCGCTACCCTAACCATTAAGCCACCACTGCCCATTATTTGATATTATTATATGACGTGTTCGTGAAACTTGACATTAGAAAGCCAATCACCAGTGACTTTAGATCTTTACACAAGTATGCTTATTAGCTCACTGTTTGGGTATCGGAATTTGGCACCAAAAGAAAATACCTTTTTCGATCCTCGATAGGATTGGAGCATTTTGGTACCACAAAAGTACCAAAGTTCGGTATCCAGCCCTAGCTAAGTGTATTAAACATACAAGGAATTGGACTTGGTGGGTGTACTTCAGTATAACATATAACATGCAAGATAATTTCAAGATAATTTACAAATTTACAAGTATGAACACATTTTACACAAACTGTTTACAATAAAAACTGACAGTCAAATGGGCAAGTAATTGGTAATCCTGCCACCACCAGGGGGCTCAGTGAGGAGTCAAATAAGAGGTTTTCATAAGTCTGACTTATTTAATCAAGAAGAGGTGTGACTCACATGTAACTGACTAAGAAACATTTGGAAGCCCCGACTCTATGCTCTGCACTTTGCTACTCAGAGGGTGTTGCATGAGTCCTCCAGCAGGAGGTGCTGTCTCACCCCAGGTGGTCTTGGCTTTCTGCTCAGTCTACACTGCAGACCGTGCAGGAATGCGAACGTATGTTTTCTTGCGCTTTTGTTTTACTGTCAGGACACCTCGCACGGGACCCTAGAAGCAGTAATTATGTTTCCAGAAGTGTGAGCATTCGGCAAGGGTGGGGGGACTTATCTAGGACTGGCAGATGACCACCCAGGAGGGGGGTGGGTGTGTGTGTGTG